TTGACGGGCCACATAGTAGGTGGGAAACCGGCAGTTATGGTGGTGTTTTTGTTTGTGGTCAAGCTGATTTTTCTATGATTCCCTTTATTCTGTCTGCTTGCCAATAACATTGTGCTGCGAAAAATGAAAGATACACGTATGGAAAACTTTTCCAACATCTGTTTTATGAGATGAAGTTTACTTCAGAGACTTAATTTGTATTTTTTTCAATGCTATATTTGAATTCTCTGCATATCACAAATGTTTAAAATTTGCAGATGTCATGACTAATGTGTCATATTAATATTGTATGGTCAGGTCGTTGGTGTTACCCATTCAATAAGCATGGACAATAAAAAACAGTTAAGAAGAGGGCATTTTGGACGCCAATATTGTCAAGCTCATAATCATAACAGTCACTTTAATGATCACCATCAGCACCACCATTTCATTCCATCCTGCAGACCGAAGTGTAATTACAACCATTAGTAAATGTCACCTCTGTCTGTAACCAGACTCGGTGTACTCACATGCCCCTTTAGTTCTCCAGAATGTGTGTTTGCAAGAGTGCTCTTTTTGATGAAATAGCTTTGCCCCCGAGGGTTGATATCCTAATGGGGGAAAAAAAAAAAAAGAAGAGGAGAGGGCAGAGTGGAGAGCTGTGCTAAGAACCCCGTGTATCAGTAACCTCGATCATGTCCCACACCTATGGCTAACCTCGGGCTAAGTTAGGGAATTAACGGAGCAGCCGGGGAGAGATGCAACACTGCCTTTGACTTTGCACTTCAGAGGTGTGAGCGCTCGGCCTGCTCCTCTGGAGAGTCTTGAGAAAGACCATCATTATACATTAATAACGCCAGAGACCTCTCCCTCGGCCCGCGCAGCCTCTGTTTGTGTCGCCTATTGATTTTTCACTGAATTCTTTTTGATGAGAGTACAGGGGCTGACACTTTGATTACGGTAACCGGAATTCGCTTCGCGTTTTAGAGCACGCGTTTGTCCGTGTGGCTGTACTGTACGTGCAGTTTTCTTTTTCCACTCCGTTTGAACGATCTCTGAATCTCCACGACAGCATTTCATACGTTTCAGTATGCTTAGTCATGAATGTAAGAGACCACGTTTTCCAAAGCAACGAGTGATAATCAAATGAAAAGGAAAAGAAACTTTAAAAATGTCACGAACGACTGTTGAATGTTTTAGAGTGTGTGAGTGTAGGTCAGTGCGTGTTTTGCTAAATGTGCTAAAGACTGTTGAAGATTTTAATGAGTGGGTTTTAATGAGTGTTTTTTTCTTTTCTGTGTGTGGGCACATTTCTTTATAATGGTGTTGTTTTCATGTACATGTAAAAATGTTTGTGTGGGTGCATTTTACTGCATGTTCCGCCGCATCAAACCCAGTGCCACTCTACTCCCAAAATGTGACTTAAGTTCCTTACCTTTCTTCCTTCCTTTCTTTCTTTCTTTCTTCTTTCTTCCTCCGTCTTGTTTCCTCTTCCTCCTTTTTCCTCTTTTTTCTTTTTTTCTTCTCGCCTTCGTAACTCCACGTCATTGTGCAAATTACAGGCTTGGCATTTTGGAAGGGCAGTTCACCCTGGTGGTTCTTCACAGTTCTGTGCATTTGTCCTGCTGCCTCGCCATGCGTAAAAATTCAAACCAACACAGCCGAGAGGAGGGGGGAAGGGGGGGAATCTGACAGGAAGAGTGGGATTTGTGAGTGAGGTTTCTTTGAACTGCAAGTCCAAAGCTCAGACACACACACACACACACACACACACACACACACACACACACACACAAGCTCATTTGGATAACAGAACGCATGAAACAGTCAATCCGATAACCCTTTATTGGCTTTTGGAGGTATTGTTTGGACTAATTCTTGTAATAGATAAACAGCTCTTCCTTGGGGGACTTCTCCTTTTTATCTGAACATCTCTGGCTGATCAGGTTTTAATTATCGTACATTCAGAGATGGGGCAAAAACCTAGCACAGACATACATAATCAGACCAACCTTTGACCCCCAGATCATGTCTAAAGGTTCCACCAACACTTTGCATGGCTGTGTATTTTGCTGTCCTCCATTATACCTTCTCCCTTGATATTAAAGTCATGGCTCATTCATTGTGCAAGAAATCGCTACATTATTACAATATTTGTCAAAAGGCCCGGAAGGATATTGGCCAAATTGAATACCCCTGCAGTTTGTCAGCAAATGTGCAATGTTTGCACATTATTCTTTTTCCATCAACTAGTAACTGTGACCCCAGGGTGTAAAAAGGCATTTGGTTTTAACTGCCTTTTGTTCCTGTAAGCACAAGTCAATATGTCTGTTTTTTTTTTTCATATGATAAATGAAATACCCATTATTGTTGTGTTTGTAAATTTCCACATTGGAAGGTGATTTAGCAAACATGTCAAGAACATACATCATATCATGTCCTGAATGTTTAAAGAGCAACCATGAGCATTTTAAAAATGAATTAGAGAAGCAAAACAACAAAAGAGAGAGATAATTTGTTTGCGATCATTTGTATGTTGCGAAGATGACCGTTAGAATGAAATATTTCACACATAATATAAACTTATGGACAGCACACGAAGCATTTTCCCACTGCAACATGCATCTGCACCGGCACATACTTACAGAACAGTCAATGCATGAACACATATGCAAACACAATCTAGCATTTTGGAGAAACAATTGTACATAAACATTTTAGAAATGTTTTTTTTTAAATAATTTATAAATGAACAAAAAAAATACCTGCTGGTGCGCCGATAGCCTAGCAATTAAAAATTATACTGTCACGTGAAAATTCCAAATTTGTGATGTCAGGTGTGGCTTGCCCAGGTTTCCAAGAAGTGAAAAACGGTGTGTGTTGTTTTAGTTAAGCCATGCCAAGCCCCACTTTGGAAATCACTCCCATAGTCAAAATATATATATTTGCAACCAATGGAAGAGGAAGTCCATGGTCGCTGTTCCTCTCCCTCCACTAGCTTACTGCTCTCATCAAATTAAAAACCCTGCTACTCGCTACGAAACAGTGACAAAAAAACCTCCTCCTTACCTAAACTCTCTGATCCAAGTCTACACTCCCTCCCGCCCACTATGCTCTGCCAAAGAGGCTCGTGATCCAACCTTCAAAACAGGGCCCAGAGTATCTAACTAGAGTCTTCTCCTCTGTCGCCCCCCGGTGGTGGAACAAGATAACAAACTCCATTCGATCTGCAGAGTCCCTTTGCACTTTTAAGAAAAAGCTAAAGACCCAGCTCTTTAATTAACACCTACACCCTTAATGACACTGATGATGAAGATGATGATGATTTTGATGAATATGATGATGGGATTTAGGACAGTTTAAATGTTGATTAAAACTTTCAAGAACAGCTGTCAATGTTTTTGATGATATATTAACTTTAATTATTTTTTTCAAAATTGCATTGCCTCTGTGCACTGCCTGTCAGCACGAGTGTCCAATGGGACCGAAACCTAAAGTTTGTTTGCACTTACTGAAGTTGTTTCCTCCTTTCTAGATTCCTGCTTGCGTTGAACTTGTTCCAGGATGTTCGTCTCTTTGGAATAAAAGCATCTGCTAACTGAATTGAATTTTAGAAAAGCTTTTGGGTCTGCGCTTTTGAGGACACATCCTGAAAATCGACAATGAACTGAAACTTTGTAGCTGGATTTGCAGTATGTTTTAATGCTTCTTATTTGGCTATTAATATTAATGACAAATGTAAGCTCTAATGAAAAGTTTCAGGGGCTTTCATACCCTCAGTCCTCACCAGTTCCTTGACCAGCATATTCCTGATTTTTTCAGTACAAAGGAAAATGGAGCTTCATTTTAAAGGAGAGCACAGAATGCTAAACTCTCACATTTCTCAAATCACCAGCTATTCCACCTGAAGCAACAAACCCTCAATCCACTGTTGGACGCTAGCCCTGCTGACAGTGCACATTTTGTAGCATTGACCCTCTTTTGCATTAGCCCCCCCCCCCCCCCTCACTCGTGCCTCCCTCTCTGCACTGATGATTAGACCTCTAATCATCTGTCCATCAAAGCACCTTAACAGAGCTAGAACACGGCCACTATTGTGAGCCACATCACTGTCAGTAATGACTCTGAGTGTGAGTCAAGGGGTTTGACTGTCATCTTTAAACTGTGGAGGTGGGAATTGATTTCTGTAGGAACCTGTTGGTTAATTCATATCAGCATTACACACAAGGTCTTACGTGAGAGCTCTATCATCCTGCTGTGCTGTTCAAGTTCCCTGCGAGAAATTATTGTAGTTGTTAACGGCTAACTTCACATTCAGAATGTTTCCATGGTGAAAATATGGCACTTCTAAGAAACCAACCCTTCACTTCAACACACTGTGAGGTCAAGTAATACGCCAAGTGATTATGCCCGCTTTAGTGAACATTTCCAGTACACTACACATTGTGCTTGGACATAAAGTCTCAACCTTGTGTTTCGACACCACACAATGACTCACCTCAGGTAAAGTTGTGAAGAAAATTGGCTTTTGAATGGGATGATGGAAATAAACAGACTTTTTTTTTTTTTTATTTAACCAGTGGGGATACAAAAGTGTTTTAGTGACTCTGCTGCTCTTAAATCTGATTTCTGTTAACTAAATCTGATTTCTGGGAATTAAATGAGTCACTTGCTCCAGTTTATTATTTCTATTTCATCTTTTCTTTCCTGCTGTGGAGAGCTTCCTCTGCTTGTATCTTCCAAACACCTTAGAGGTGCTGGGAGATGTCATCATTGACTCCTTGAGATGTTTATGAAACCTGTAGTCTAGCTTGTGGATATTGTGTTTGTAACTATTTGCTACAACTTTTAAGAAGATTTGCAGATCGTACGTTTTTGTTCGGATTTCATTATCTGAAGTTTATTTAATACACTGCAAAGTCTGTAGTCTACACACACTGCTCAATCTGCTTCTGTTTCGGTTGCATGGGGGGGGGGAAGGAGGATCCTCGATGCGGTGGAAGTGAAGTAGCGGGCGAGGAGGCAGCGGCACAGCAGTCGAGGGCAGGGCGGCACAGTGAAGGGAACGCAGGCTCGGAGCGCGCCGCGCGTACCGAAGGGACGCTGTGATTGACAGTCAGAGGCACGGAGCGTCCCGCGCGGCAACACAAGCGGAGCAACCTAATCTCCGAGTACCAGTTTTTTTTTCAAAGGCATCTCTGTGCTATACCAGCCAGATCAGCCTGGTGCGTATAAAGGAGGCTCTATCCATCATCTGGGACCGGAATAGGGAGTCTTTTCGCCGGATAAACAAGCAAGAGGAGCGTGGAAGCTCTGCGTTTCTCTATCCCGTTCTGTCTTTACCTGCGCGGTTGTAACTGGAAACTCTCTGGGATAACCTATAGGTTTCTCAAGGTGTCCCGGAAACGGGAGTGGAGGGACAGAATGGTCCGGTTGCACTTTGCAATCTGAGCCTAAGAAGAATTTCTCGATTCATTTTTTTTATGGAGTAAAGAAACTGCTTTCTCAAATATTTGTGGGGGTTTGCATTTCTTTTTGTGCAACCCAGTGTAAGTGTGATGTCTTTTTAACTCAATTGATAAACACTGGATCTTTTGAATAGAGCTTTTATTTCTTACAGAGTGGAATACGGACCAGATCACCCGGAGACTCTCGCAGGAATTTTGGTGCGTAATTCGCGCCGTGTGTGCTGTTGCGGAGCCGCTGAAGTAGTTGTGCCTCCCTTCTTTTTTTAACACCCAATTTTTCTTTATGGAGTAGTCTGAATAACAGGTGAAGACTTAAAAAAAAAAAAGGAGCGGGGTTTCATTCTCTGACGCCTGGAGCACGAAGGCGGATTCGATGTGCAGATTCTCCGTAGGATGGTAAATGACCAATGGGGAATCATGAACAGCTCTTCTGAACTCGAAGATGGGACTCGGCATAAAAACCAGGTACGTTCACAACAACCTACAGCTGCGTAATGTGGGATATGTGAGGAGTGGTGCATCCTCAGTTCTTGGTGCAGTGCAAGCACGCTGAGTTTGGCGATGTGGCACGCGGGTTAATCTCTGCACAGGAGCTTTTTAACTTACACTTGTGCTCCCGTAATAATGTCTGAGCCCATCTGATGATCTCACAAATACTCTCTTTGTGATAAAAAAAAAAAAAATAGATCAACATTGGAAAAGGAAGTAGTAAAATAACCACAGTAGATTCATTTGAGTGTGAATGGCTGTTTTTTCTGCGCACACCTCTTTTGAATCTTCTCTTAAGTATCCCAAATTCCCTCTAGTCTGGGCTCTACTTGGACTGACTGTCTTGAAATCTCCTTATCTGTAGTTTTAGAGTGTTAAAGCGTGGCTCACAGACATCCTTTCAATAGCTATTAACACTCCTCGGCTCTTTAAGCAAGTCTCTCCGCGCAGATGAATTGAGACAAGCGCGGACGTGCGTTGTGTTGCAGCCAGACAAGCTCACTTTGGGGAATCAGTCGATGTGTTTTCACAAGGTCAGTAGAGGGCTATTGACAGTCAGAGATAGAGAGGGAGAGAGAGAGAGAGAGAGAGAGAGAGAGAGAGAGAGAGAGAGAGACCGACCCCCTGGAAAAGACGGAATCGGATTGCAGGGCTGAACGCCTGACGCTTCTGGAAAAGCAGCCTGATCTACCTTTCCTGTATCCTCTTACCAATATTGGATTTAGTTAATATGCGACACATCATTGATACACATAAACAAAAGAGGATGCTGACATGGAAATGAGAGACATTGCAAGAAGTTTTGACTGTTAAGATCTCGGCACAATAACCACACCCTTTTTAATACCTGCTTTAACGCCATGCTTAAAGTAAGTTGTAGGAGCAGAAACATAGTTTGCTTTCTCTTTTAATAACAATCCCCCTACCGCAAAATAGGTTACTCAGAACTAAATGTTTGCTGGCAGTTGTTCTGACTAAAGCATGTGGGTTCAGAAGTGGGAATGAAACATGCTGGTGGCATATTTTGCCTGACTTTGAAAGGTGACATGCAGGGGAGTGTCCAGACTTTCTTTCGAGTGGGGTCCGGGGGCCCAACTGGGGCATTGACTCATGCAAAGGGGGGTATTAAGTATGTGTGCACACACATTCTTCTTACAGGAGCAGTTATTCATCATTTATATCACCACTTAACATTTCTACATTATCTGCTATCATTACGGTACAAGATGGTTTTCTAATTGAAAAGATTAAAAAAACATTAGCAACATAAATCTTTAATGCGTCATCCTTCAAAGACTTATAAAGCAGGAGTGTTTCCAGGGGTTGGCCTTGGGGTGGCAAAGACCCTCCATGAAATGTGATGCAGCCCCAAAAAAGTAGGATTTCCCGCTCAGAAGCGGGACTTAAGTTCAAACCAACTTTTTCACAATCAATTTCATCATGCGGTGAGAAGCTTTTGTGGCATTTCAAAACACATGGACATGTTGTTGGTGTACAGATTCATCTCCCTTCTGAGTCGTTTCAGAAGTAAAGCTCTTATGAGGAGTTTTGAGCTGGTTATGAAACAGACTAAAATTAATATTGTCGCCGTATGTGGCCTACAAAAGCAAACAAACCCATCAGCAACAAGATTGATCATTTTTTATACAGTCATTTTTAATGCTTGTAACCAGATGTAGACACAGACTTTGTTTTCATTTTCCACAGTAAGGATTCACAATAAGCGATATTATATGTGACTTTTAGTAAAAGCAGGATGAGACTTATCACCACAATCTATGCAAACCATAAGGTCCTCACAGGAGCTTTAAGTATATGGAATAAGCTCAAGAACAGAAAGAGGATGCAGACTCAAAGAGGCCTTGCATCATTTTTACCACAGAGCATTCAGCTGCTCAACAAGCTCTGATAATACTGTGTGAACTTGGCACTTTATCGATCTGTAGTTGACATCTCTGACATGTAATTTTGGGACGCTTTTAATGATCTTATAACGATGGATTTCAATTATTTGTTTCATGCCAGGTGCTGCTCTGAATGGTCGTGCGATGTTTTTAGTTGTTTATCATGGAAAATACACGTTTTTGGACTTACCTGGATGCACATCATTCCATGCTTCTCCTGCATGAATCAGTGCCCCAGTTGGGCCACTCTAGAAATGCAAACCTTAACACTCACACCCTGTAGACAAGCCCCTGTTGCCCCAGATGATTCGTGGCTTCCTGCCTTATGCTTCTGCAGATTTCATGTCTCGGTCTGAGTCATACATGGTGGCACTCTGATCTGGATCGGTGTTTGATTCCTTCAATTACAGCAGCATTGATCTAATGAGGCTTGTAGTTCATTTTTGATAAATCACTGTTTTTCAATGATTTCCATGTAGCTTCTGAGGCGGGGCTGTTCAATGACTAAGAGCACATGAGTAACATTTTCCCTCCTGCCTACAAGCCGCTCATATGCCTCTTTTATATCCACTTAAAGGTCAAGAGTATAGCAAGTATCTCTGCCCTGGGTTTTAATTGAATGATATGGGGCCCAGCAATGCCCCAAAAGGTCTAGAGAGATTGCTTGGAATAAAGGATTCTTTGTAAGGAAAATGATGAATTATGTGAATCATTTGGATTCCTTTTCCTTTTTTTGTATTCTTAAAGCATAAAATCCAGAAGACTAAATGAAGCTCTGATGTGCTGAGTGAGGATGCGAAGGCAACAAAAAAAAGTTTGTCCCATAACGCCCCACTATTTAGATCAGACAGCACTGGGGCATGTTAGATGAGATGAGATGAGATGTTGTGGCTAATGTTGCTATCTGCCCGTCTCCTCCCTTCATCTATCCGTCTCCCTCTTCTCCCTCTTATTTTGCCATCACACACAGACGCACATAAATACTCCATCTCTGCGGGTGTGTGTGTCAGCCTGTCTCTCCCTGTAATCTCCAGCAGCAGCAGCAGGCCTTTATCTCCAGCCTTGCGCTATTGACACAGTCATTTCAGACCCAGTGGGGAGGGATCGGTTAATAGAGATCTCTCGTGGTCTCTGTTTGTTTGGATGTTACAGAACACGGGCCCTCGTATTTGTCTGCGACCTCTGCATATTTGATTTGTTGCTGTAGGTGTGCTGTCACCCGTGCCCTTTTGTAACAGATGGAGGCCGGTTAGAGTAAAAAACAGGAGATTCAAGTGCAACTTAGAGATCAGCCTTGGAGTCTCATTCACTCGCTGGATAATCAGCGACAGAGAGTGTAGCTGCATGGTCAGAAATGATTTTCTTACTTTTGTGTAAGGAATGAGACACTTGAAAGGAAACAAAATGGCTACCAAAAGCAACCGTATACTGATTCTGTGCAGTGACAATGAACCGAGTACATTTCCGTTCAGTGTGTTAGGAATGAAACGGTAACTGATCTGAGTCGAGGTTGCTGCTTGCCATGATAAATATAATAACACAAATATTCAACTGAAAGGAATAACATGACATTCAACTTCTTAAGAATATGCCTAGGTATTCATCTTCTTTCTTCAAAAGTCAAATACCAATACTGATTTTTTGGAATGGTTGCCAGATCTCTGATGGGGTGTGCTTGCTGTGGCTATTTCCATGGCATCATTCCTAAATCGTCTGAAAATTTAATTGAAGCAACTTGTCATATTGCTCTGTTTAGTATGTTAGACATTTAATGTGCAAACACACACACATACAAACCTTTTCTACTCTTGGACATGGGCCATGCATGCACACACATACACAAAAAAGTATAGCTGAGGAGTCAGTGAAGCCCAGTAGGGTAGCCCACTCGGCTAATCAATATCACTCTGAGAAGTCCAAACTTTCTGAAGCTCTGAAAGGATTGTTTGTGTTTGGGTAGAACACCATATAATAATACAACCACGGTGCCTTGCCAGCTCACACTGGTAAATACACACAAGCAGAACACCCTAAAGGGGTGTATATTTTTTTTCCAGACAATATGTCAGGTTTTTTTATAGCTTTAGAACTACGGAACAACACAAACAAATCAAAGTCCCCAAATCACATCAATAAGAAAAGTAAATCAGCCAACTATAGCCGGGATGTTTATGTACCTCTCATACATCAGACGCAAAGCCGAGAAAATAAAGGGAAGGAAGGACTTCACAGCACAAAGCCCTGGAGACGTTAGAGAACAATTTATATATAAGACAAGCATGCCATCCTTGACACACGCAGCCGCTGAGAGTTATCATTTTATGCATATACTCGCATAAAACACATAATCCCCAAACGTTCATAACTGTGGGTGCGTTTTGGCTGATCTTAAAAGGCCCTGCAATCCTTCATGTACAATTTTCTACACTCTATATTCTAACTAGGCTGAACAGTTTGTCTCATCAATTTGGCAACTTCAATTATAATTGTCTTTATCATTAAACTACACGGCTTACAATTAAACAAGACTGCACCATTGGATAAAGTTAATTTGTTTCTTCATCAATCGAATCAAATTAAATAAGGCATCTGATTTTGGATGCTGACCTTCCGAAGTTGTTTTCCTCTAAAGCATTTACACAGTTTTAATTTGAAAAATTGACCAATTTTCCATACTTTAACTTGTGAATTAAAATATTCTATAAGTGGTAGAATGACATTGCTCATTTAAATCTAAGTGTTATGGCCAACTTATCCAAAGTAATTAAATCAAGGCTCAAAAACAAAGGAGACCAGAACATTTAGGACGCCATACCTTTATTTGCCTGTAAGCCTGTAAATACCTCCCCCCATGCCCACCTCTTTCTGGAGTCGAGACTGGTGCAGCTATGCATTGCATTTGTGAGATGTGGGCCTGCTGGTTTTGTGGTTGGCCATGTCAGACTAATGAAGCAGCCCAGCTTGCTAGAGGTATATAGGAAGGAAGCGTGGACTGGAGCAGAGCAAAGCAGAGAGTTCTCTGGTTCACTGGGTTTGTGATTTCCCTGTGGGGGGAGGGGGGGGGGGGTCTTC